TATATTATTTTGTTAACATTTACAAGAAATATTTATAAGTGTAAGAAATACTTATACATACTTATACATGTAAAAATATTAAATTAACAATAATTAAACTGTATTACACATTGTCGTAAGTTCACAAGATAGCTATTCTGCTTAGGTCCTGTATAAACGTATAGATTTCCTGTAATAACATAACATAACTTTATAATGCAATGTTGTTTTATAAATTATTCGTAAGTATTTCAAATTTAATTTTACTGTCAAACTACTCTTAACTTAACCTTATCCGCTTTTATTTTAAAGTAATACATTAGAAGTAGCCATCTGCATTCAGTAGACTCAACAGTTGAGACATCTGTTTCCGATGGATCGAACTCCGCTATGAATTTTCTACTGGATTCGTTTGTGATATCGCTACTAGTAAAGATGGCTACTTCTAATGTATTACTTTAAAATAAAAGCGGATAAGGTTAAGTTAAGAGTAGTTTGACAGTAAAATTAAATTTGAAATACTTACGAATAATTTATAAAACAACATTGCATTATAAAGTTATGTTATGTTATTACAGGAAATCTATACGTTCATACAGGACCTAAGCAGAATAGCTATCTTGTGAACTTACGACAATGTGTAATACAGTTTAATTATTGTTAATTTAATATTTTTACATGTATAAGTATGTATAAGTATTTCTTACACTTATAAATATTTCTTGTAAATGTTAACAAAATAATATATATGATTAAGGTTTAAGGATCGATTGTTCCAACTTTTTGGTAAGTTAATTGATAGTTAAATTATATCTCTGTCTTTGTTTTTCCTTCAAATTAAGTAAAAATAAACATATGATTTAATACTTAAAAACAAATATGCCTTACATTTTTATTTTAAGGCATAATTGTTTTTAACCATTAAGTCAGCCATTAGTTTAAGCCTTTACAGATATTATACTAGTAATAACAAAACAATAAATCAAAATATTTTTTATGCCAGTAATGTCAATAATACATGCAAGTATATTACAAAAAGAGAGGTTAGATTATTAATAATAATAAATATGTTACATTAAATTATTTCGAATAATAAAATTTATTATTATTCTTACATACCTGATTGAAGACGAGTATGAAAATCAGTATTTTCTATTATTTTATATAACTCTCCTTTATATTCATATATTTTTTCTATGACATCACTTTTCTCACTAGACGTCGCCATGTTAGATTGTATTACTTTCCGCTCAAATAGCGTAAATGAAAACCGCTACAAAATATGGCGTCCGCTCCCTCAACTTGTTGAGATGTAACAACTGTGCGGAGCGTCATTCAGTAGAAAATCTAATAATGTTGCCCAACTGTTGAGTCTACTGAATGCAGCCATTGTGGACTTGATACGCGTACTAAATAGTAACTTTCTATTAGATAATCTTAATATCGATAATGTAACACAACAGCAACGTATTCAATTAATACAATATATTTTGTTGATGAGTATTATATCAACTTAATATATCATTGTTTATATATATCGTTGATATTAAGATTATCTAAAAGAAAGTTACTATTTAGTACCCGTATCAAATTCACGATATAAACCAAGCCAATGTATTACACAAAACCAGTTTATTGATTGCATATTATCTTACAAGATATTTTAGATAATATGTGACCAATAAACTGGTTTTGTGTACGTGTGTATCAAGGGTTGCTTTCCAACAAGAGACAAGTCGACACAAACATCATTCTATCTTTGTTCCACATTTAGAGTGCTTTCCAATTGCAATATCCCTAAACACTTTCATGTACATGGCGACACAAGTTGCATTCTAATTGTCGTAATCGTCGACACAACACTATAGCCGGTATTCATAGTCAGATCTTATATTTAAAATCGTCTTAAGTTGATCTTTAGATGGCCTACAGATGATTTTATTGGCTACAAAGCATCTGAAGATAAACTTAAGACGTCTTAAATATAAGATTCGACTATGAATACCGGCCTATACATCCATACTCAGCTCGAGGGCTACTAGTCGGCTGTGTAAACTAGTGTTTTCTAGTGAAAATTAAAGTTAATAAGCGTAGCGGCTTGAAAAGAGACTGGTATTTGTGACGGGAAGTGGATAATATTTTTTTTATTATTTACATTTTATTATTTATTATTAAAAAATACTAAAATATAAGCATAGTTGAAAAATAATCCTAACCTTACCTGACATACATACACATTAGTACACACTTTGTTCCAATTGAATCATGCACAACGTTACACTTTGTGTATTTCTGTGTACATATGTATCAAAATGTGTTAAACAATTGGAAAGCACCCTTAGTGAGTAACAAAGGATGCTTTCCAATTGCTTAACATATCTTGATACACACGTACACAAACTAGTTTATTGGTCACATATTATCTAAAATATCTTGTAAGATAATATGCAACCAATAAGCTGGTTTTGTATAACACAGTGTACGCAACTGGAAAGCACCCAAAGATAGGATGATACTTGTGTCGATTTGTGTTTCTTGTTGGAAAGCAACCAAGATAAGCGATTGGAAAGCACCCATTGTCAATTAATCGAATAGACAAAAGTGCGTAAACGTAGAGAAAAAAATTTGAAGAGTTGAAATCGTTGAAGAGAAAATTATTATAAGTGACTAATTTTATTCCCTTACCAATATGAGCAAAATATAAATACAATTTTTCTATTATTCTTTTAAAATTAATATTCCTTTGCTATATATACTTCCAAGATATTTAAAGTATAGACCGCCAGACTGTGGGTGCGTTCAAAAGACACAACTGTTGCACAACGGTTGAGTAAAGGGACGTCTACATTGGAAGTAAATAGCAAGAAGTAGGAAGTAAGAGTAAGAAATTGACCAACCACAGT